TCGATAAAAAAATGACCAAACCCTAAGCATTCACCTCAGCCTAAAACTTAACACATAACCAAAACCAACTCTAGACTTAGGTTTCAGCCTAACCTTGACCATAACACTAACCCTAATCCTAACCTTAATCCTAACCCTGACCATAACACTAACTCTAATTCTGAATCTAACCCTAGCCCTAACCTTAGCCCTAACGCTAACCCTAACCTTAGCCCGAACGCTAACCCTAACTCTAGCCCTAACTCTAACCCTAGCCCTAACTCTAACGCTAACCCTAACCATAACCCTAACCTTAGCACAAACGCTAGCCCTAGCCCAAACTCTAACCCTAACTCTAACCCTAGCCCTAACGCTAATCCTAACCCTAGCCGTAACCCTAACCATAATCTTAACCTTAGCCAGAACGCTAACCCTAACTCTAACCCTAGCCCTAACGCTAACCCAAACCCTAACCCTAGCCGTAACCCTAACCATAACCCTAACCCCAGCTGTACCTTAAGAGGTGTGTGCGTGGGGGGGGGGGAGATGTCCTCCTTGGCGGGGGGTAAATGACAGGGGGTAATTGCTTCAGGGGGGAGAGAACTAATAATCTGTAAGTCCTACTATTCAATACATTTGGTTAACACAATGTCGTCACACATGTAAAACAAAATAAGCAGTCTTTTTATTATTTGTATCCTTAAAAAATGCAAAATAAATGCTACGCCATTAACTCAACCCTCTTTTTTCTCGTTACATATCGTCACATAAAGCCACCGCCCAAAATGATGGTGACGTCAATATACAATCATAAAGTGGTCACCCATTAACCACGACTCACTCTTCAGACGATTTTGCACCAAACCCCCCTTCTCTAATTGTAACAAATTTTCACAAAAAGCCAGATCTTCGCTTCCCTCCCCCCCACCACTCTCTTTAAAAACACTACACCTCAACACATAACCCCCTCCGCCGTTCCCCTGAAACTGCATTTTTACTTTCTCGTATATACGAAGTATAGAGAAAGTCTTGTAATCGTGCAAAAAAAAAAAATCGAGATTTTACAAATCTCGACGTTTTACACCTCACTGATACGGAAAAACATAATTTTGCAATCTTGTCCGTATGTCTGTGTCTGTGTGTGTCTGTGTGTAAACACGATAACTTGAGTACCGTTACAGCTAGGTTGATGAAATTTCATATATAAGTATTTTATCAAAATCATAGATCCGTATAAACTTTTGAGTGATTTCCGATAACCGAAAGTGGTACTTTTTCTACTTTGAATTTTTCAAAAGCCTATAACTTGAGTACTATTGCAGATAGATAAATGAAATTTCACATGTAAGTAAAAGATCTAATTCTCTACCTTCTGTCAAATTTTGAGTAATTTCCGTTGACAGGAAGTACTAATTTACGCTATTTCCGATTTCTCAAAAAACGCACGTAAATTTATAAAGTACTAATAATGTTGCGCACTATTATGCACATCTTTATTTGACGTTCACTTGGTGTGCAATTCTTTTTTCTACGAGGTTTTATTCTATTTTAAAAAGTTTAAGTATTTAAAATGGATTAAAAATCATGTCTATATCCCGAGTTGCCATTCCCCGTAGTGTTATATTAGAATATTCGAGAAAGTTTAGGGGAGATCACTCCCGGTTTATTATAATATGTACTGACCTCGATAAACATTGAGTTAATAAATAAATTAATACCAAAAGCAATCTTTTAAAGCCCGAAATAACGGATGAAAGCAAAAATGTGTCGTCACACTTTCCGATCATCCCTTCCCATAAATGAAAAAAAAAAGCCTGAACATACTAAAGGAGAGTATGGATGTTGATGAAGGATCCCAACGTTAAAAATTAAAGCAGCGCAAAATTTCAGGAATCCATGTTACATATTATTATTTTCCGTAGGTATAACAAAGGTATTTACATTGTGTTTTATATTTTACGAGCCGCTATCATACGCCGCTATTTAGTTGTTTCATTTTCTACTATTCAGTAATTCATAATTTGTGAATTTGACAGTAACAATGCTGCCACTGAAAATATTTGCTTTAAAACACTATCAGTAGCTCGTTAAGGACGATAACCCCCCCCCCCTCCCCACCCTCCTTTCCCAAAAATCCTACCCCCCCCCCCTCCTCGTGAAAGCAGCCCCCTCTGAGCTACCTCCACTAAGTTTAAAATCGTTTCAAACTAAATTATCTGCCCCTAATAGCTGTCACTAAACCCGGCTCTACGATTGTAAACATTTAGCTTGAACCACAGCTCACCAGACCATGCAGGGATGGGGGTGGTAGGGATAGAGAGAAAGAGAGGGGGCTGCTAGGGGCGCTTACAGCTTGGTGTTTTCTATGGTATCCATGAAGAGAATTATTTATATAGAAGAAATATATATTAAACCAGCGTACCCGTCCCGCGCGTTGCTGCGGTCTCAGAAGACAGACTGACGCAATATTTTAAGAGGATTCCATAATTACATTAGCAATCACGTATTTTTTTACGCTTGACATTGATTTCTAAATCTAAACAATTTAAATGTAATCAAAGCCGGTGTTATATTGCTTTCATCATAGTTGTTGAGGCGCAAATTCTACCGCACACAGTAGCCCATTGTATCCATAATGTATCGCACTCTTTAAAACGAACGTAGGCGCAATAGTGCTTATAAGGGACCCACACAGGGGCGCTAGACCACATGCCAGTGGTGCAGTAGACAAAAAATTTCCCTACTGTAGGGCGCTCTTTTAAAACTCATAGTGTTCCTCCCGAAGCCAGTGGCGCATCGGGTCAAACGAATTGTCATCGAATGTCGTGTGCCACAGGGTCAATATTGTAGAGTGCTCTTTAACACAACCTTAGGATATCTCAGGGCGCCAAATCGCTTCCTGCCGGGGCGCCGGCAGACGCGCCTGATTCCATATAGTCAAAAATTATTGTCGCCCATCGTGTCTTTAGTGTATAAATTTAAAAAAAAACGAACGTAGGCGTCATAGTGTTCACATGGTAGCACGGGGCGCTTCGGGTTACGTAATATCCGGGGCGCCGGCGGCTGCGCCTGTTGTTGCTTTTTTACCTTAGCCCCCATGCAGTTTTAATATCGCCGCCCTGGATTTTCAGGCGCCAAGCCGTTCATTAACAAAAATCGCACCCTCCAGGGAAACGCCCATAATAAATTTTAATTTTTGTTTTCGCAGAAACCTTCTCGTGAGTGTTTTCATTAACTCTCGAAAGTTTAACGGCACTCAGATAAACGATGTCAAACAGCATCCGTTTTGTTTTTTACAAACTGTGTAGAGAAAAATTGCACCCTCCAGAAGCGCCGCCCTGTTAAAATAAAAAAAAAATAACCTCCCCTGAAGTTTTATGGCGAGCGGATGAACGGGATTAAACCGCAATCTACTTTTACGTATATATACCCTATATAGGGATCTATATATAGAATCGATTCGCGCCCTGCTGGGGCACCGTGCTTGTGAAATATATCCAGTGGTATTCTTAACTTAAGTTGCATGGCCATAGGATGAAAGGTGTAGTGCTGCATAGAGGACATAAACAAACCCACAAACAAACAAGCAAAACTTCATTATATATATACATAGAGAGAAATATAAATAATTCTACATATGCATATATATATATATATATATATATATATATATATATATATATATATATATATATATATATATATATATATATATATATATATATATATATATATAGCTACATTTGGTGACTTCCTATTTTCCCCAATGGCGTCAAATTTTGCACATAATCCACCTATTAATTCATGTGAAAAAAAGCATCGTTTTCATCGTATATTATTAGATTTTGGTACCAGCCTCTCTCCGGTCGTCGCTTAGCAAATCTGTTATCCAAAAATTCAACAAGCATGTATTCACCTGTACATTTTGCAGTTTGTGTCATCTCCCCTCACCCCCCCCCCCTGAATGATAGTTTTTAAACGTGCACAGTTAATTGTATTTTTTTTTTTATCTGCAGTCAGTTATTAGTACAGTTAACTCTCATTAGTCATTTATTGAACTGGCAAAATGCTTACTTCTTCTATATATTTTGCTATTTTTCGCCATGGTGTCACCCCCGAAATTTTGCCACCTTGCGCGGTCCTCAGCCCCGCCCCCCCCCCAACCTTGTGACGCCTCTGGTTAGGGGTACTACTTGAGTACAGTAAATATGTATATATATATATATATATATATATATATATATATATATATATATATATATATATATATATATATATCGGGGGGGGGGTATAGCCCCTTGGCACACCTTGTACCTACGCCACTACATAATCATGTTCTTAAGATTATATAGCACATTCTATGTATAAATTCGATAAAAATAGCTATTACGTATTCTGCAATTTTATATTTGTAATAACATATTGTAAACGAAATGAGTCTTAAATTCGATTAAAAAATGGGCCTTTATATTATGTATTTTTTCTATTTTGCAATCATATCATGTATTACTTGTTGTATAGCCTAGATTCTATAATAATATACTAATATATTCTATATTACATAATCCTATATTATATCGTTTAGTAATCTCTACCCTAATGTTTTCTATACCGAATAATCAATATTCTGTAATTCTAAATTGTGTATAAATTAATCATACAATCTCTAAAATTAATCATAACTATGATCATAATTAAATTCAGCAATCCACTGTATTAATTTATATTGCTAAAAATAATTTAATTTTCAATTTTAAAGACAGAAGATACATTTTTTATAATATTAATTATTATTAGCTCTGTAAAATGAATGGTTGTTTAATTTTTCTTATATTAAATATTTTAAGCGATTAATTAATCGAAATGGTTTTATTCCGTTAGCTCGTTTTTACAGTTTATAACTATAATTAGAGTCTCAACGACAGAATCAAATGAGAAAAAATCTATAGCGTTATTATATACCGACACTGTTGATAAGCCACTCAACGACAGTGTCGTTGAGAATAGTGTAGGATCGGCTGTTCAGTTAATCGTAATTTGTTTCTTGGTGTAGTTATTCAATCAGCTGAAGACAATCTTCCTGGATGAAAAAAATGATAATGTATCCATCATGTAAAAGAGACTTTTTATATTAATATAACATTAATTAATATAACTAAGTTTTGAATAGAATAATTTAAAAAAAAACCAGCTTTTTTAATACAGCTAACTCAGTATTATTTATTACATTCCAATATAAGTCTATTAAAATGTTTTTAAAAATATTTATGCCACGGCATCTAGTTAAAAAAAAAAGGAAATTAAATCGGTTTTGAACGGATCATTAAAACTGGTAGGCTATATCCTTTTAAAAAATATTTTTGTAATTAAAAACATATGTACGAAGTTCTAGTTGAAAACTTTAACGCGGAAACAAGAAAAATTATTTTTTGTTTTAGAACAATTTGTAACATTTGAATTTTTTAGTGTGAAATCTACACATAATTTTCTCCGTCGCAGAGCGTATATAATAAATGTAGCAAACTGAAGCACGAAAAAGTAGGCACCGGACAAGACCTTTAAAACACAATCCTTAGCAGTAACTCTTGTCAGAAGAAACACACAAAAACTAGTACATAAACATCAGGAGTTGTATTTTTTATACTAGTCCTTGGTAAGTAAATAACATTATAAACAACGGAATACAGTATAATTCCCAACAAAGACAAATGGATCCATTACAAGTAATTCGCTTTTCGTGTAGTAAACCAGTGTGATAAAAAGTTCAGCAATTTTTTTCGGACCCGCTGAAGATTTAAAGCCAACGGTCAAAGCGTCACCTAGATTTCAACCAATCAGGACGCGGGATTTACGTTTCATTTGGCGACTCTGTTGTTAGTGTAAAAAGACGTTTCCCCATTGGCTATTCTTTTTTGTTGCCATTGGCAACTCTAGTGGCCAGGAAATTTACCAACAAACTAGTGGGAAGTGGTAAGCAGACAAGTATAATTCCATGCTTATTCACACTCACACATACACACAAACACATACGCACACCCACGTACACACACACCCATCTATATATATATATATATATATATATATATATATATATATATATATATATATATATATATATATATATATATATATATATATATATATATATATATATATATATCCATCCATCCATCCATCCATCCATACACATACAAATATAACCTCAGTGAGATATTTAACTACAGAAAGCCAGATTCAGACTTATTAAAGTATATTTTCCAACTCGTTGCCATTCCCTTGGGTGATGTCGCGTTCCGCATCCATTCCCCCCCCCCCCCCCCCCCACTTTTGACTGATCTGTGTCACTTTTAAAGTTTAAGAAAATAACAAGTTGCTTAGATAAACCACAGCCTCCAATCCTTGAGTTCATCCAATAGGAAAATCTCCGACATCCAAAGTGCTTATGTTTAAACTTTTTTTTTCAGTCATGACATTGCAACTCGGCCACTGACAGTGGAACTTCCCATTGTGAAAATTACTGAACAACATTCTTACACTGTCCAATTTATCAAGATTTCTGTACACCATTCTCAAATTGTCCAATTTATCTAAACCATTCTCATATTGTCCAATTCAGTGTACACCACTCTCATATTGTCCAAATTAATGTACGCCATTTTCATATTGTCCAATTAATTGTGCACCATTCTCAAATCGTCCAATTTACTGTATAACATTCTCATATTCACCAAATTACCATGAACTATTCTCACATCGTCTAAATTATTGTACGCCATTTTCACTATGTCCAAACTATTGTACATAATTCTCAAAATTACTGAACACCATTTCTGCATTAGAAAAGTTTAACAATGTATTCATGGTTACCCATTCGTTATCAAATAAACCCATTCCAATGTGTACCTATCCTACCCAAGTACCACATAATAAAAAGTAACCCTACGAACATACCCTGAGGTGAAATCCCCTACCACCCCCTCCCACCATCCTGCCTTCTATGGACCCATGCTCCTTTCAATCCTGACAAAAAAGGAAAAAAAGTGGGGGGGGGGGGGGGGGGGGGGGGAAACGACGACTTAATCATTGACGGTCTAAGTTCAACACTACACAATAACTAGCTACCTCGACCCCTCCCTCCCTCCCCCCTCCCTCCCCAACCCACACAAAGATAAATATCGATACCAAACTAAATCTAGTCACACAGACAGGTACTTAAAGCTAATCCCTGTACATAGCTGCCAACACCCCAACTAATTTGCCTAATCCTTGACTAAACTAAATTTACCCTCCCCCTCCCTCCCCAACCTACACACAGAAAATTATCGATACCAAACGAAATCTTGTCACCCAGACAGGTACTTAAAGCTAATCCCTGTACACTTCTGCCAACACCCCAACTAATTTGCCTAATCCTTGACGTATTGAGAACAAAAACAAACAGATTATCAGACACGACAACGGAGTGGCAGTCATCAAAAGGTCACATGACCTCTAAGGTCAATTTACACTTGACCTTTTGAACCATTAACCCCACTTATTGATTGGGAGAAATAAAATTGACCAAGTAAGCGATCCTGTTTTTAAGCCTAACTCAGCGATTTTAACACACAATGCCAGTTTTCTATTAGAATAGACGCGTTGAATACAGGCGTCGCGAGGCGGGGGCAGGGTGTGGACCGCATCGGGTGACACCATTTAGTTTGGGGGTGGGGGTGACACTGAGGCAAAAAATTGCTAAATTTACCGTAGAAATATTTTTTACCTATAAAATGGTTTTTGCTTGTTAAATTAATGGTTAATTAAAGTTAAATAGTGTTTGAAGTACAAATTGACAATTCCGACAATGAGAAGGGGTGACACCATGACATAAATTTGTTAGCTATAGAGAAAACAAAGCTATATTCATTTGCATTAATAACAGACTATCGCTTACTATAGACAAACATCGTTACTATTACATGTGTATAACCTAAAGTTATTGCCCTGGAAAGGGGGGGGCATGACAATAACTGCGCATACAAGCAGTGGCGTCACTAGGTAGAGTGCAGAGTTTCTCCATCTCTTCGGGGGCAGTTCCCCCTAACCCCTACCCGTTATTTTTGAAAATAAACACTTAAACCGGTGTTCGCCCCAGGAAATTTAAGGTCTGAAAGAAAAACTGGTCGGATGACACTCAATACAATAATCATGATTCCCCCCCCCCCCCCCCCACCCATTTTCACCAAAGACTAAAAGTATGATGTACTAAAACTATAAGCGATTTTGTGTCACCCCTATTCTGGATTATGTCCCCTTGTCTCTAATGAGGTAAATAACACTAATAAGTTATTAAACTTATTAAAATAACAGGGAAAAATTAAACCTTTTTCATTAAAATTAAATAGGCCTATAATTCGCTTTGGTGTCACCCCCCCCCCCCTTGGAATATGTACCCGGTGCGGAGCGCATCCACCCTCCCCCCACCCCACCTAGCGACACTACAACATACCTTTAGTCTACACCTAAATTGGCTACTAAACTGAAATTTACCTCTATTTTGATAGTAAACTCTATATGCTACTTAAAACGTAACTTCAGTAGTTCGATTTTGATATCGCCATAAAACTGGCAGATAGTTGAATACTTAGATGAAGCGGGTATGGCTAATCATTATGAAAAAAAAAATATATTTACCTTGCAAAAGTAAATAAAAAAGTAAATCCAGAAACAATATCGCTAAAGAATAACAAATCCACACATATATCTGATTTCATGAAGTTGTGAACAGAATCCAATCCACTTTTATTTATACGGATCAACAAAACACGGAACTGAAATTTTAAAATGACGAACGGAAAAACATAACAAATGATTGCGTCATCAAATGTTGTGTACACACAATTTTTCCTGCCTCAGCGTGAGACAGCAGTCTATATCCCGTTTGACCATGCGGGGGGCGCATGTCGCGTTCACGACCTAGTGAACATAGACACGGGTCAACATTCACGAACTACTGAACATAGACACGGGTCAACGCGTTACATATAGACACTACAAAGGAAAATAGAACTAAAAATATAGAAGTGTTAAAATTATTTATAATACGAGCTTTTACGTGTAATAATCATTCGGAATTAAAAACAATTTTTTTTTATTTTTGTATAGGTGGTTATATGAATGGTGGCTAAAATGGGTCAACGCTTTAAATATAGACACTAAATAGGAAAATAGAATTAAAAATATAGAAGTGTAAAAAGTATTTATAATACAAGCTTTTACATGTAATATATATCTGGAATTAATAAAAAACTTTTTTTTTCTTTAGGTGATAATAGAAATGGTAGCTAAAATGTATCAGAGATTACATGAGTGGCCAAAGTTAATAAGATTCATCCATAAATGACGTCACGCTACTTTTTGACAATTTTTACCTCCCCCCTCCCCTCTGTCACACATCGTCACAAGAAGGCAACCCCCCTTAAAATGACGTCACACTTCAACCTACACCCCCCCCCCCTCAAAAGTGCAGTTGAATTTTTCTTAAAACATCGATGTTTTTCCAAAATCTTGTCTGAACTCTGTCAACATAGAGTATTTTAATCAATTCCTATTACAGTTTATTAAAACAGTTTTCTAAAACGCGAAATAACGGCTAAAATTCGTTTTCAAATATTGCTTTTTTATAATGCAAAAGTGTGACATCACACCATCTGACCCCCCCCCCCCCCTCATCACACACCGTCACAAAATTACGGACCCCTCCCTCCCCCCCCCCCCCTAGAGTATGACGTCATTTATGGACGACCCCCTAATGTTTGTTCTAGATTTAAATGTGCAAGTTTAATTTTAGTGCAAGTTTAATTATCTTATTTTTAGTGCATCTAGAATCTTGTTGTTATGAAGATTTTTTAATGACTATTAAAATAATTAAATCGATAGTTAAGTAAAGAAAGGAATTAGAATAGTCGGACTGTAGGCAGTGTTTCTTCCAGACTTTTTTCTCGGGGGAGGGGGGGCACTTGATATTTTCGGGGGGGGGGGGGGGGTGGGTGGGGTGGGGCGGT